ATCGTGCTAAGGGTCCGACTTTATGATTCGTTGGACTATTGTGAGTCTTGAATGTTCTATGGAACTACTTATGGTTTACCCGTTTGATAAGCATGCTAGTTTGATGTTGAAATGCTAGTATGTGCAGTTTGTTCTTTCTTATTGGGATTGGCAACTTGTGTTGACCATCGTTTGGTGTTGGATTGTGATCCTTCGTTGTTGAGTATGGTTTCATGTATTTGTTGTGATCCATTGATTGATTCCTATGATATGAACGTATGTAATCGTTGTACCCTTCGATTGATACTTGATTAAGGTAATTGTGGAACCTTAGTCTTCTTGGTAATGATGATGACTTGTGTGACTATGACTGAATGTGGGTTGTTGTTACTTGAGCTTTGCTCACATGTAGGTGGTTGTGTGAATGAAATTAATGGTACCCTCGTGTACTGGGAGTTCGGCGGTATGTTGGAGGCTATGTTGGAGGCGGGACGACGGTCCCTGGCGGTACAAGGTTGGACTCAGAAGTACAGGGTGGCACTAGGAGGTAATGGTTGGAACTGAAATAAGGTCGGGGGTAGCCATAAGGTTGGAACATGGCATAAGGTTGGAACTATGAAACTTGTGACATGTAGTTGTCACTGTGGCATGTAGTTGCCGTTGTGTGAATGTGTATTCTTTGCTAATGAGCATGTCTTTATGTATTCTACTTTGTGATCAGTATAATGCATCTTGAGTTGTATTGTTTTTCATGTATTTGTCTTGTTATTGTTGTAAGGATGGTGATTCCTTTTCCTTTTGAGAGTGTGAATGAGTCCTTGAAGTTTACTTCTCTCTATGACTTTTGAAATGGTATATACTCTATCCCGTTCCAAAATGGTTTTGACTTATACTTATCTATATATGCTATTTAACGCGTATTGATGGGTTACCAGCAATGTTCGCTGACCGGGTGTTATCCCCATGTTTTTCCCTTGTTCTACAGGTTTTGAGTAGATGCCCGAGAGCGCTAGACTTGGAACGATAGATAGCTTAGTCACATTTTCTAGACGTTATGTTTTGATGGCCTGTGAGCCTTTTGAGCGGCCTGTGTGTCTTGACTCTTTATGACTTGTTTAAACTGTTTAGATTTCCCGCCTGTGCATCTTTAGTACTTTAAGATGTAGCATAATACCCCCGTTTAGACTTTCTTCCGCTTAATATTTAATGGATGATTAGATTGCTTATCTCTTTCCTTTTTTGGTTTTAAAAATGTGGTAAAAATCAGGGGTATTACCGACCTCCTCAAGGTCCGTTGGCTAGTACCGTGAGGCTATCTGGTGCACTAGGCAGTGTGCACTAGAGGCCTTCTCTTCACCTGTAGACAATTTTCAATGCAAAAAAACACTCCCAAAACTTCACCAATCCATCATGGATCAACAATAACTCAACAACAACAATAATCTAACATTTCTAAGCATTTGCACCTCAAACTATGCATTCACAGAGTCAAATAAGTAGTTGGGAGTCCATGGGTTATACCTTTGTTGCCTCTTCTTCTTTGTATGGATTCCTTCTTCTTCCCAACTCAACCACTACCCCCTTCACCACCTAAATACCTCAAACAAGCTAAACAACAACACTTAAAAGGAGAACCTCAGAGATTTGAAGCTAAAGAGGGGAAGCTAGATGAACAAAGGATGAAAATGATCCTAAGAACTTACTGTGTTTCTTCTTTCTTTCTTGCAGAGCTCTTGGGTGGGAAGACAAAGAATGGAATCGGGAGGAAAGGTTGGCTTTCTATTGCTTTTATATGTGTTCAAAACTCTAGAAGGATACTCAATGATTCGTGGAGGGCAAAGTGGTCTTTTGGTTGGTTTTCCAAAAATATCAGGCAAGCTTATGGTTCATCTTACAACATGGACGATAGTCTAGAAATGTGCCTTTAAATAGTTTGGGGTCAAAAATAGATTTATCCAAAAAAAATTTCTAGATAAACACTTGATTCAGTTTTCTCAGATTTCTTCCGGTTTCACTCAGATTAACTTTTGGGTCATCTGATTAATGAATGTTTTGTGTTGGTTTTCAATAAAACGAAAAAAAAGTACAAAAAGAATAAAAGTTGACTTTTTGCTACCTTTGTTAAAAAAAAAGGATAGTGTTTGGTTAAAAGAGATGTGCGGTGATAAAATTGTAAATGAATTAATAAGAAATCGTGACCATTTTTTGTACAAAAGGAACGCGGTTTCCTAAGAACAAAAAATCACATCGAGTTTCCGCGACCCTTTCTGAAAAAAAGGTAGCAAAAAGTACTAAACTTAAACAAAAAAATAACTTCTTGCGACCCTTCTTTAAAGTAGGGTTGTGGTTTCTTAAAAAAAAAAAAAAAATCACCACGAGTTTCTAAAACCCTTTCTAAAGAACGAAAGGTTCGCGGAAAGTAATAAATTAAAAATAAAAAAAAAAAAAAAGTTAACTTTCCATGAGCCTTCTTTAATGAAGAGTCGTGTATAGTTCTACCCTAAATTCCTTTCCTTTTCTCAGATATGGATCTCACCCTCTCTCTTTTCTCAGTGCATCCCTCTAATGGTGTCTCCTTCTCATATCTGCAAACCGAGAGACTCTTTCTCTTCAACAGCATAGGATACCGCCAGCTCCCGCTTCTCTGACACCTCCACCACCAGCTCAGCCAACTCACCAGAGCCCATCCACATTTAATGACCTTCGTGATTTCTCCAGTGGTTCGTTGCCGCACCCATCCCCTTCCCCACTAAATTTCCAGTGGTAGTAGTCATGGCTCCTCTTTCCGTTAGGATGTGGGCCCTTAAGTAGAGATGGAGGTCGGTTTGGTCACAAGGTTTGCTCTTAAGCTGTTGTGATATCGGTATCTCAGGTTGTTCTTGCCCTTAAGCAGAGATGGAGTCGTGTTTGGTCACAAGTCCCCCACTTTCTACGGTTGTCTTTGACAAGCAAAGAATACACACCTTGACTTTGAGCAAAGAAAGTATAGTCACTATTGGCCTTCTACACGCCATCACGAGTCCTCCACTTTCTTTGGTTGTCTTTGAAGAGCAAAGAAAGTATAGTCATTACTGGCCTTCTACATACCTTGACCTTGAGCAAAGAAAGTATAGTCACTCCTGGCCTTCTACACGCCTTGACCCTCTCGACTCCTGGTTTGAAGTTCTCTTATCTTTCAGAGAGCGAGCTTGGTGCCTTCACTCTTGCACATTCCTTGCACAAAAAATGAAAGAGATTTTTTTTTTTTTGTTTGGAGGCGCAATGCGACGCTGGACCGCCTTCCTTACTTATAGGCCTAGAATAGATGATGTTCGGTCGCCTTCCCTACTTGCGAGCCTAGAAGAGATTGTGTTAGTCCGCCTTCTCTACTCGCGGGTCGATATGCTTCCTTCCCTACATGCAAGCTCATCGGGCCACATTCCCTGCATGCAGGCCCCTAGGACCCTGATTTTTATTTTTTTTTAGGCGTGATGCCCTGCTGGGTCGCCTTCCCTACTTGCAGACCCAGAAGAGATGGTGTTCGACCGCCTTCGCTACTTGCAGGCTAATGAGCCGCCTTCCCTACATGTAGGCCCGTATGACTCTGATGTTTTTTCCTTTTTTTTTAGGTGCGATGCACTACTGGGTCCCCTTCCTTACTTGCGAGCCCATAAGAGATTGTATTCAGCCGCCTTCCCTACTTGTTGGTTGATGAGCCCTCTTCCCTACATGCAGGTTCCTTGGGCCATATTCCTTACATTCGAGCCCGTATGATTTGTTTTTTTTTCTCCCTTATTTTTTTCTGATTTTTTTTCCTCTTGGGCCGCCTACCCTGCGTTGCGGGCCCAGAACTAAAAATGAAAGGTGGTGAAGAGTAATAAGAAAATAATAATAAAAAGTGCTTTTTTATTACCTTCTTGAGTTGTATGCGAATCCAATCACAATTTTTTTCTTTCTTTTTAGGCCGCCTGTTCTGTTTTCCAAGCCGAGGGTATAAAGCGATATATATATATATATATATATATATATATATATATATATATATATATATATATATATATATATATATATATATATAAGAGTTAATTATCAGAATGGTCCATTGACTATAGTGAAATTACTAATTTAGTCATTGGCTATTTTTTTTTGACTAATTAAGTCCTTCAACTTTAAAAATATTAACTAATTTGATCATCCGTGTGTTTTTCCGTTAGGGTTCTATTAACTCGGGACCAAATTGATAATTTCGCTATAGTCATTGGACCATTTTCGTAATTAAATTTTGAATTAATTTCACGTTTGGTCCCACAACCACAACTTTTGAGGGGTTTATCAATTTTGGTGCAGAACATTAATTGTTTTCAATTTTGGTGCCTAATTTTGTTACTTTTATCAGTTTTCGTCCTTCCAATCAAATTGATGGTGAAATGTTGTCCGATTTTATATTTTAGGGACAATAGCATCATCCCAAAAAAATATCTTGAATATCAAAACTAAAGAAAAATCATATTAAGGAAATATCTTCAATATCAAAACAAAAGAAAAATCATATTAAGATATTGAAGACGTTTACTTCAGATGATGATTTTACCCCGGCCTATAAATATAAAATCTGGTAACATTTTGCTATCAATTTGGTCGAAATGACCAAAACTGATAAAAAAAAAAGTTAAGCATCAAAATTAAAAAATTTTAAAGTTAGTGTACCAAAAGTGATAGAACTTCAAAAGTCGTGGGACCAAAGGTGAAATTAATTATTAACTTTTCAGAGAAAATAGTGCATGTGATGGCCAAAATGGTCCCTTGACCATAGCAAAATTACCAATTTGGTCTTGAGTTAACAAATGTCTAGCGAGAAAACAAACAGAAGACCAAATTGGTTAAGATTTTTAAAATTGAGGAACTTAATTGGTCAAAAAAATCAATGACCAAATTGGTAATTTCCCTATAGTCAAGAGACCATTTTGATAATTAACTCTAAAAAAAATTTGAAATGGTTTAATCTATCATGCACCATAGATAAGAGGTAGTGTACTACAATATTAGACACACACTTACTATTCATTTCTTTGAACACAAAGAACCACGCCACCATGGCATACAAAGGTAGGGCACATTAGGACTACTTAGGAGTTAGCCAGCTAGGAGTAATTAAGTTCCTACCATTATTATTGTTGCTACAACGTAACAAACGTTGATTTCATTATTCATCATCACAACACCTTAACCTCTGATCTTAACGTTTATTTAACCGGACCCTAATATCCGCAACTGTTATACAACAATTGCGAAAAGTCTTTTACACCATTAACGGAAGTGCAGTTTTCTACTAGTGACCTTCAATTTAGTAGTTGAGCTTTAAGTAATTGTGAACGACGCGTGGTTGGCGGCAGAGGGGCTCACCATTGGAGTAGAGTTGGCAGGCAGTGTCTTCTATGAAGCAACAATTTGTGCAGCCTACATCGTAGATTTTAGTTTCGTCGGGAGCACAAATCATATATTCCGCCGATATACAGACAAAAGGGCAAATCTTTGGCTGCTGGTTTGCATGTCCTGGGTTGGATCGCCCAAGCACAAGAGACCCTATATATATATGTAGTTAAACAATAAATTTACTAACACATTTCTACGTACAATAATATTCGTTTTCATCGCCCATTGGAAACGAAAAACACTACTACTTTAGATTCATACCATGAACAAGTAGCATCAGAGTGATGAGAAGACCAGCTTTGGTAACAGCCATTGTTCTTCACTTAGTGTAGTATAGTTCTGAATTTTTTGTTGGCAAAGGGTTGAAGACTGTGTAAGAGCTTCACCACCTTATTTATAGAATGACATGGGTAAGGAATTGAAATGCTCCCTTAGTCCCCATCCACCACGTTCACAAGTACGTGGATAGACAACACTACAACACTAATATAAGTATTGGGGATGATGGAATAAATTAATAAATTAAAACAAGACAATACTTTTTCCAAAAGGTTGAATTCCCAATTCTAAATCCCCACACTTTGGAGAATTTGAGAGAATAACAAAAACAAGATAATACTTGTAATTACTATTAATTGCTTTGATATTATAAGAATTAAATATTTGTAATAACATACCATCTTTATACCATGGACCAGTAGGGTTCATAGTGAATTGTGGACCCTGGTGCATGTGTATGTATTTTATGTTGTGAATTTTTGCGCCTTGTGTTATGAAATTCTGTACCTTAAGAGTATGAATTCTATACTTGAAATAAATTAGTATTTGTATCTTATGTTATACATTTCCTTGTCTTGTGTTGTGAAATTCTGTGCCCATGAACACAAATTTTGCACCTAAATCAATTTTGAAAATTAAGTAAATGATACATGTGTATGTGTCTTGTGCTGTGATTTTTTGAGTCTTTTATTGTGAAATTTTGTACGTTACGAGTATGAATTATGTACCTCGTCGTTTTGATTTAGGTTCCACAATGTTCTGTGGACCCTGGTCCATGATATAAATTTGCCAATAAGATAAGGCTCCCACTATTTATGCAAGTACTCCTTAGTATCTTTTGGGCAATAAACGGCGCAACTTAGGCGGAACCGACCCGACAAACCTGACCGACTCGCCGACCGAAACCAGGGGATCCAACCCAATCCTAAACCGAGCTTCCATATCCGATCCGCAACATGAAACGTTGTCGGTTAAAGGAGTTCGGGTGGGGTAGGATATTTTGATATCTGACCTGCCCGAATATTTGAACTTTATTAGGTTTAGTTGGCTATGTATTAAACGAAATCATTTTATCTAACTATATATAGATGTTGAACGAAGACTTAGTCTTCATTCTAGAATTTGCGCAGTCGACCTAGGGTTTGCTTCTCTGAGTTCTCTCTCACTTTCTCTGTGGTCTCTCCTTTGTTTGCGCGAATCGCGACTTAGTTCCGCTATTCTCCGATTCTCTTAGAGTGTGAGTTCTCTCTTCTTCTCCGATTATATATTCTCTATGACTGTATTATGTAGTCTATGATTCTCCGGTGGGGCGGTGGAAGCCCTAGTGCCTACTCGTGGTGAACTGGTGATTACTGCTTACTTGCTTAGAATCCCTTGTTCTCCAGGAATTATTTGGGAGAAATCAAGTAATTCGTAAACCCTAGTTTATATAATTTTATTTATGAAATATATTGAATTGTTTGTGATATATTATTATCTATGGTGAATATTTGGTGATATATTTTGATAAATTATGCCATTAGGGTGAAAGCAGTGTTAAATCGAAAGCCCTAGTTTTATATATCTTGATTTATGTGATATATTATGATCTGTGATGAATATTTGGTGATATATCCTTATATTGTGGTATATTATGCCATTATTTTATTTATTGGTGGAAGCCCTTGAGAAATTGATTTCTACCTTGTGATTTGTGAATATTTTGATATATTATGGTTCTGAACTTGTGATTTATGCCTTATAATGTCCCAATGCGAGTTAAATGCTTAAATGTGAAATTTCCAGTGTTGAAATTTCTATGTATTGGTGGAAGCCCTTAACTGAAATCCAGATAATGATGAACTAAATACAGTTCATGAATTTGGATTTCTTTGTATAATCGTATATGTTTATCACTTTATGGATGTATGACCCTTAAGTTCTTAACTGCCCCTAATTGTGAAATTTTGAAAAATAATGACACAAACAATTGTGTCTGATTCTAGATTTCTTTGTATGTTTAATATGTGGTTGTTGACTTGATGTTGGAATAATGAATTGCTAAATATTGGTAACCATCCTTGTAAATGGACAGTGCCACTCAATCTGGACTTCAACCCTCAACTCAGGAGGGACATGGAAAACAAGCCCAAGGCACTGAGACAACTGCTCAGCAGCCTCAGGTGAATCATGTTGTTCCTGCAAAGAAGAGGAAGGAGGTTGAGTCTAGATCAAATGTGTGGGATCATTTCCAAAAGATCCTTGATACTGAGGGGAAATTAATAAAGGGGAAATACCTATACTGTGCAAGACTCTTTGCATGTGAGTCCAAAAAACATGGCCCTTCCTCTTTATGGAATCATATGCTTGGCTGTCTAAAAAATCCCCATTCTAAGGATATAAGGCAGTCACTGCTCACTTTCATGCAATAACAACATTTGCAACTGAGGGGGGTTTTGAAGGGGTAGTGGGGGAATTAAGGACTTGGGTTTTTAATCAGGAAGCCATTAGGAGGGCATTATGTGATATGATAATAATTGATGAGCCTCGATTTAGGTTTGTTGAGGGGCAAGGGTTTAAAAGGTTTATTTTGGTTGCTTGCCCTAGATTTTGTATACCTTCTAGGTGGACAATTTCAAGGGACATTTACTAGATTTACCTTGATGAAATATTAAACCTTAAGAAGTTGTTTAGGCTTAACACTCAAAGGGTTAGTTTGACTACTGATACCTAGACCTCTATGCAGAGGATTAATTATATGTGCATTACAGCCCATTTCATAGATGATCAGTGGAAGCTAAATAAGAAAACCATATCCTTTGTCCATATTTCTTCTCACAATGGGGAGCATGTAACTAAGGCATTAGAGGAGTTATTTGATTGAATGGGGGATTATGGATGTCTTTACTGTCACTGTAAATAATGCCTCTTCCAATGATAATCCTATGGGTTTGTTTTAGATCCAAATTGTTGTCTTGGGGTAGAACCTCTGTTAGGAGTAAATACATGCACATGAGGTGCATATCCCACATTTTAAACTTGGTGGTCCAGGATGCGCTAACATTTGCAGATAGTTCTATTAAGAAGGTTAAGGATTCTGTTAAATAGGTGAGGAACTCACCTGCAAGGCTCAAAAAAAATCAGAGAGCTTGCAAAACTAATTGGGATGGAAGCATAATGTTCTTTACAGCTAGATGTTCCAACAAGATAGAACAACACCTACATGATGCTTAACACTGCGGTACAATACAGGAGGGTGTTTGATGCATATGAGGGGAATGAGCCCTCATGTTCTACTGATCTAGGTGATTCTATTCCTTCTTTTCTTGATTGGTGTTCTGTTGAAAGCTTAGTAGTTCTGCTGAAAGGATTTTATGAGATCACAGTGAGAATATATGGTTCTCTATATGTCACCTCTTATAGTTTCTTCAGTGAGATATCTAATTTGAGTTGCATGTTGAATGACATGGCTGCTGCTGATAGTTCTAAAAAGGTAATGAATAATCTGAGTTTTGATTTTGTGTGGTTATGTCATTTATGTGATTAATCTGAGTTCTGATTTTGTGTTTGGCTATTTTGTAGTCAATTGTTTTCTTAGGCAATGGAATCCCAAATGATAACACTAAATTTGAAAAGTATTGGGGAAATCCTGACAAAATGAATTTCTTGATCTTCTTTGCCAATATCTTAGACCGGCCAAGAGATAAATTGGAATATATGTCATACCAGTTTTACCAACTGTATAGTGAAAAGAAAGGGGAAGAAGTGTTTAGAGAAGGTCCAAGCTGCCATGGTAGAATTGTGTGGTGACTATCCAGCCACTTACTCTGTTAATGTGCAACAATCATCTTCTAAATCATCTTCTAAATCATCTTCTAGTAGCCAACCAAATGTGCAACCAGTCTAGTCTCATATATATATACTAAAATTGGTAGACCTCAGTCTAGGTTAAAAAGCCAACTCAAAAGACAAAAAATGGAGGCTAGTGGAAGCAGTAAAGAAACAGAGCTTCACGTGTATTTGAGTGAAAATATTGTGGAGGACAGTCTTGACTTTGATAGCCTTAGGTGGTCAAAGCTTAATAGTGAGATGTTTCCTACTCTCTCCAAAATTGCAAGGGATATCCTAGCAATTCCTATTTTCACTGTTTCATCAGAAAATGGATTTAGTGCTAGTGGAAGGGTATTAGATGCATTTAGGAGTTCTTTAACTCCTAAAATTGTGGAAGGTATAGTATGTGCTCAAGACTGGTTGAGGTTACCAAATCAACCAGTTAAGATTGAGGAAAATATTGATGATGTTGAAAGGCTTGAACAAGGTAATTTATTTAAGGGTTAAATTCTGTTTTTACTTTTATTAACTTAGATTCTTTTGTAATTTATTTGTTTTTATTTGCAGAGTTGGCCACTGGAACTGGAAGCACAAGACCTGGGACTGCTGGTTCTTCTCTTCCTACAATTCCTGTAATGTTTTATTTATAGTCTTTCATTCCATTTTTCCATGATATGTGATTGACTGAATTGTGATTTGATTTTCACTAAGGAAAACTGGCAAGTGAAAACTAGGACAATGTGAGACAATGGCTTGGCAACAATTTAATTGTTACTGCCAATGGTTCCTTTCAATCCTTTGATGAGTTTGATCTCATTCCTATGATACTATGATAGTATGATCCCATCACACATCAGGTATAACTGTATCAGTGTCTACCAGATTATTAAGCTTTTAACCTTTTGCCTTGATTAATTCAATCAATAGTGCATGGGTGTTAGTAATCTAAATATCTGATATGGACATCCGGTATATCACTCTCCCTTATTCTCATTCTGTTTTTTCTCATTACTGTACTAATTAGCTATTTGACTATGATGATGCTTCCACCATTGTCTGAAATGGTTTTGGATTGGTATGTTGCTCATTAGTTTTGAGTTCTATTCCAAAACTTAAGTAGCAATTTGCCCCAAATCCTACCTTGACATGAAAACATAGCAATCTGAGCCTTCTTCCCTTTTTCTGCACAGTTGTGAAACTGTGAATAAGTGAATGAGGGAATCTGTGATGGTTATACTTAACTTGTGTTTTGTCTTTTAAC